AGCATGTAATTAAAAAAAGACTTAGAAAAATAATGAAAAAGAAAAATTACAGAGAAATTATAGTATTGTTACAATATATCTCAAGCCAGAACTCTGCTGCCACTGCTAACTTCACAATTCAGATACTGGTAGCATATATCTTAAGTCAAATTTCTGCTATTACTGCTAATTTGCAACTCTTCTTAGTTTTAGCATTATTTTTAACTAATTGTACATTTAACTTACTGCTTAAGTATTCCTTTTTATAATATAGATAGAACTGTATTTTAGAAATGGATTAATTCTTTTGCTTTTTAAGAACATTTTAACCTGAATCTATATTAGACTAAGATGTCCATACCATGTTCAAGTAGAGGTCTACAAATTTAGATATTTCAACTATAATTAGTATAGCATTTATGTTGGTATATAAAATTATAACTTGTGCTTGGTTCACAGTTATGTGATAATGATTATATAATATTTAATGAACATATGTATATCAATATGCATGCATGCATAGATTCTCCTTTTTGTGTATCATTAAAATTTTAAAAATACAAGTTTTTTACTTAAGTGAATTGCTTATTAATTATTGTTGTTACTAAAAATTCTTATATAAAGTATGATTTTACTTATCATTATAATAATATATATAAATTTTTATAGTTTCTTAGTATAGATTTTTTTCTTAATTAAAAAGACTAACTATCACTAGTATTAACTAAACATAATATATTTAAATATCTTAATATTTAATAAATGTTTTTGAGCAAACATATGCCTTATTTTATATTTATTAAATACTATTTAGTCTATTTTCTTTTAAAGCTTGTTGTAGATCATATGTTCTTTTTGTTTGCTGTTTTTTTTATAAAAGCATAACAAAATAGTATAGATCTTCTTGTGTTTTATTGTTATATATATTATTTGTGCTATTTTTTGGTCTTTCTTGGCAAACTTTTTTAAATCTATAGTTTAATCTTTTTTTGTATTTGGCAGTTGCAGTAACTTGAACTTTAATTCTTTTACCTTCATGCTAATGACTATTACTATTAACTTAATCTATATTCAAGTTATATAATTGGAAAAAGGAAGTTATTGATAGTCAGATGTGAGTATTTTATATAAAGTAATGTTGGTTGTAAAATTTAACAAACTTAAGCATATTTTTAGTAAACACAGAATCATTTTCTTTAAGAAGGTTTTCAAGATCATGACAGAACTACTAGAATTTGTTATAGCTAACTGGTAAAGGTTATCTTTATTTTTATTTAGATTGTCTTTATTATTGTTTGTACTACTTTTATTACTATTATCTTGACTATTGTATTTGTTATCATTTATATTTCATCACTTAAAGATTGTGAAAAAACTGAAGATATGTGTTTGATAAGTATATTTTTTTATGTTATTAAAACTAAGATTTATCATCTATAGTTAGCCTTGCTATAGTTAAAAATATATTGTTTATATGATACTTAAATTTTTTTATATATAGTATGTACAGTATATAACAGTACTATACATGGCATATTTCTAGCTATACTCATAAGCTATAATTACAATTTGTAAAATTTTTATTTTATTAAGTTTTAACTTATTAAAATATATGTTGATATGACTTTTCTACAAATAAAATCTTATTATAATTGCTTTTTTTTTGGCCCAAGTATGTAATTATAGTCAGAGCTAACTGTATAATTATTAATACTTTTGATTTCTATAGTATATATGAGTTTATATTCAAAATATGCTTGATGAAGATCAGTATAAAAACTGAGTTCTTGGTATTTTTTATCTAATGCCAGATTGGCATAGTAATATCTACAACTTACTAACATTGTAGATATTTGATTTAAGCTCCAAATTTGGTAATGAGTTGCTATTGAAGACTAATATCTACATAATGCTTCTGTTGAATTATATTTACATATTTCAAGTTTCATGTTTATGAGATGTCATATATTCAGATTTTTTTACTTCTGTGTTTGAATATTATTATATCAAAACTTACAATTTTGATATTATTTTTTGATCCAATTTGCTAGCCTATAAGAGTAAAAATAGTTATAAACATTTAATTAATTATAACTATGCAAAATTTAATTAATTGGTTTTATAATCTGATCAATTAAAATTTAAAAACTTTTAAAAAAGTTTTTAGATATTAATAACTGATAGGAAGAGGTATAGTGACCTAGTGAAGTTGTCAGATTGTCAACCTTCCAAGTGGTAGGTTGGGTGTTCAAATCCCATCAATAGTGAAAATTTGAATAATCACTTATGTAATATTTGTATTACAGCAACTGTTACTAATGATGAAGTTAGAATATCTGTAATGGCAATCACACCAGCATGACTGGCAAGTTATGGGGCATTTGTGCAATGTTGGAGTTATACAGAGGAATGCAAACCAACAAATCGGGCAGTGCAAATACTAAATAAGTTCTTGTGATTATGTAAATCTATTGAAATTGGGTAATAAAAAGTCCATTTTGAAAGACCCGAATAGAGAGGTAGCTGGATCTTTGATGGCCTTACTGTAAAGGCTAGCTTGGCAAAATGGATACCAAGGTCTAGTACCCAGTTGTAGTAGCCAGATGGGCAAGAACTTTCAGGTTGGAAGTCTCAGAGGTACCATCAACTAGGCTGCCAGAACGAATCAGAGAAAAAGGATATTAGGCTAACCCAATATACTAATAGACTGGTCATAGTCCTATATGGGCTATTTGGATTGGGAGTTTGGTAAAAAGACAGGAAAAAAGGCAGAGGTATACTAAAGTACTAGGGTTATGCTATGAAGTAAATACTGGAGTCTAAGTAAACTCTATAAGGGCATAGCAGTTTAATGGTTAGCCCTGATCACAAGTGTTAGTTCTGCTATAGCAATACCTAAGTCAGCTGTAAAAATGGGTACAGAAGGCTCTAAGGGGTTTACCTTGAGGATAAATTAGTTCTAAGGTTGAGATGATAATCTGGACATCTGAGTATGATCCAATGAGTTAACACAGGTTACAGATTTAGAGAGTTTAAAGTAAAACACCCAAGCAGAAATGTTAGATATAGCAATTGGTAGAGAACCTTTGGGCAGACTCCTTAAATAGGTAATATAAAAAAGTTATATATATAGCTAATTGTACTCTCTCCTGTAGTAGTTCATTGAACCACAATACTGATAAGTAATTAATAAAAATCAAAAGACCAAAGAGGTCATCTAAAAAAAAAAATTAATAACTGATAAGTTTTAAAAAATAACATTCATGTTTTAATAACCAGTAGGTTTTAAAAAATTTGAAGTTTTTAAAAAGAGCCTGCTGGTTAGGTTTGCTTAAAGGACTTATATTATAAAGACCAAGACATTAAATTAGTATGACTTAATAAAAAATGTTTGCTATTTTTATCTAAGAGACAGAATCATAGTACAATAAAATTGTCTAGCCTATTATGAGTTACAGATAGTAATTTGTGAGTATAATAAAAGTTTATTGTATTGACAATAAAATGAAAATTTTGTATTATATTAAATGTTTAAATACATTTAAAGATAATATTTTTAATAATTCATATTTTAGTTTTAGCAAAATTATTTGTATTATTGTTACAGATTAGTAATTGTTAACGAAATAAGATAGCTCATCCTTTATAATGATCTTACATAATTCTAAATGCTATTAGAAATGTAAATATTTTAGATATATTTGACTTGTTGTAAGTTCTATGTATGTTTCTTCAAGTTTAACTACAGTTTTTGCAAAAACTATTTTTTTTAAGTATTCAATAAGAACAACATAATTACTTATACAAATATTATACTTTTCTTCTTATAACTATTTCTACATTGACTGCAGAAAATTAAAGATACACAATAACATGATAGTTTTTTTTCAAGTACTATATAAGGCCTTTCTTTTAGTAGCAAAATTGTCAGTCATAATAACTTGTAGCCCAGTAACAAATCCACATTCACTAAATACAAATAATGACAGTATATGTTTCAGTATATTCAAAGCCTTTATAAGTGTAGTTGTAATTTCATTTAATATTAATATTGTAGCAAAAGGTAAGTCACCAATAGGTGTATTTGTTGAAATTAGGGTTAATAGTATATTAAGAACATCAAAACCAGCTATAGCATCTATATATACTAATTCATCAGCTTGTTGCAGAGAATACCAGTGTTTTATGATATTTGTTATAATAACTAATATAAAAGGTTGTCTAGGATCATTATCTGCTAATATAATATATAGTTGCATCTATGCATTCTCTTTATTATTATTATTAAATTCAGACACCTCTTCTGCTAAATAAGAAAACATTTCTTTTCTATTTTGTGCTCTAACTGTCTTGTTAAGAAATTTTTTATAAAATTATAAATATCATACTTATGTAAACATATTGCCCTATCCACTAGCATTATCTTATTATTATTATATTTTAATTAAATCTCTTGTATATATGTATTATACATACTAACAAGATTATATTTAGCATTAAAGAGTTTAAAGAATACTTCTTTTGTGTTATTAAATATATATGAAAGCTTATGGCATGGCTTGATTCTAGTATCTGATTATGATGAAATATTAGTAAAATTGTACAAGAATGCAAATCATATTTGGTTTAAACTTTTATATTAAGTTTTGCTAAACAGTTAGTATTTCATATATATGTATTAACAAATTTTTTTTTATTTCAACATTTTATTATTAATATTATTTTTTCTGGTGTGGCAACTTAGTGAAATGGATAAGTTGTCAACCCCCTAAGTGGTAGGTTGTGAGTTCAAAACCCACTGATGGCGAAAATTTGAATAATCATCTATGTAATATATAGACAGTATTACAGCGATAGCATTCTGTCGATCAGTTGGGATAGGATACCTGTAACTATGGTTGCACTAGCATGACTGGCAGGTCACGGGGCATATGTGTAACCTTGGTTACACAGAGGAATGCAAACCAGTACCGGGCAGTGCAAACCTAAAATAAGTCTCTATGGCTGTATAAATCCGTAAAACTGGGAAACCAGAGTCCACTTGGAAAGACCCGAGTAGAGAGGTAATACAGATCTTTGATGGTATCACTGTAAAGGCTAGACCTAGGAAATGGATACCAATGTGGAGGAGCCGAACAGGCAAGAACCTCAGATGAGAGGTACCACCAACCAGACCACCGGAACCGAACTGAAGGAAAAGGATATTGGGCCGGCTCGATATACTAAGAACAGGTCACAGTCCTACCAGGCTATCTGGATTGGGAGTCTGGAGACAAAGCAGGGGTATACTATAAGTACTAGAGATATGCTGTGAAGTAGGTGCTGGGGTTTGGGTGAACTCTACAAGGGCTAGCCTTGT